AATTTTATTATTAATTTATACTTCCAACAATTTGTCATAACGCTACATATTAGTATTTACACATATTTGCAATACTTTCTTTAATAAATAACGAAGTTTTCATGTTTTTATTAATTTCTCGTGGAGAGACTAAGTTCGTAACGATTAAAAATCAGGTTGACCTGTGGTCGTAGATTAAAAATAGCCATAGTAAATCTACAATAATTTAATTTATACGAATCAGATATTTATTCAAGGTTTGTTTCGTTAATAATACCACGAAATAATTGATATCACGTATTTTCTCGTCTTTACGTAAATTTCAAACTTTTCTTTATATGTTATAATCGTTATAAATATATATACGTTATATTGTCCAACATTATTTTCGGTGAGAATTCTGTAATTCGAAAATGATTTAATGCTAATGTAGTATTTGTACGTTACAATCGGACCAAATCGGTTTATCGTATATGTCATAATAATTATATTTCACCAGTGTAATACAAATACTCTACTATCATCATTAAAATACAGAGTATCCTCATTACAGGTATTAACCCTTTCGCTCCCACTGTATTAACCCTTTCTCTTCCACTGTATTCATAGGATCAGATTTTCGCTTTCTATGTAATCTTTATTATAAAATATACGAAATGAATGTTAATTAAATGCACTTCGTCTAGAAATAATAAATATTTAATCTATATTCTGCAATTTCTACAGAAAATATAATTACATTTCAAATCTCATACAACATTACGTTTTTATTATTACCAAACGTACACAAAGTGAAGAAAAGTCGTTAAACGTTTACCAAATGGCAAAATATTTTTACAAATTGCTTATTTCTCGTGTAATAAGCGTAAAGTACGAATAAATTATTTTGTGTAGCTGTTAAATAATTTGGGAACGAAAGGGTTAAGAATTATCTCTTTCGTTGAACTTCAGCTTACAGAATAACACTCTAAAAACAGGTAAAGATTTGAGAATTTTTTTCATCGGTAACTGCCAAACGAAATGTTTCAATTTTTTCAGAGGATACGAATACAACTTACAGCTTTCCTCTCGAATTTTTGAAAAGTAAAAATGTTACAAATCGGAGGAGTTATTGCGAAACATCTTCCGCAAGAATATCGATTACTGGCGGCCATCGCCAGCAAGGATTGGAATAGGAAACAGAACCGAATAATTCCTTTATCCTGTAACATTTTCACTTTCAAAAAATCGGGGTAACAGCTGAAAGTTACATTTACATCATCTGAAAAAACTGAAATTTTTCATTTAACAATTACCTGTGAAAAAAAATTCTCAAACTTTACCTACACATCTGGACTCCTCAGGATGGGCGCGTAGCGCTAAAAACTCCAGCACTACACTTAAATCAACGCTACTTTCAACTAATCGAAGCTTCGCGAAATTGTATCAACGTTAAATAATCAAAATTTCAAGACTCGAAGCGCTTATTGAAAAATTCAAAAGCTAATATAAATAGTTCAACTTCCGGGGCGGCCCCGTGTTTCGAATCTTTTCTCCGGCATGTTCGTGCAAACTAGCCCGCAACAAACAGAAATCGTTCGTTCCATTCATCCTGGAAGTTTTTGCCTGCGAAGTTTCGTAATAAATATGTGAAAGTTAATATCGCGGTTTAATAACAAAATTCTAGCGGCGGTCTTTTGGTTCCGTGGTACGCGTAATTTAATTACGAACATACTCTCGAAGCTCTTTCCGGTCGGGGGATATGATCGAAAGTTCCGGTTCGTTCGGGAACTTTTCACCAAATCGTACGCTAAGTAACTGCGTGGACCAACGATCCCCTTTAATGAGACAACTTTCTTGCCAATCCAGAAAGAAAGCTCTGCACCGTTCCTTTTAATTACACCGACGCGGCGGCGGCGACCAGATCGTTTGTATCGCCTGCAACCTAGAAAGCTCTGGTTTTCGTGATTCAAGTAGACGAGCTGCATACAAACGCGTATTTTAATAAAGCCTCTGTAATTAGATCTTGCGGGAATGTGTGTGCGTTAGTAGTACAGTTACGGCAAAATTCGTGGAAATTTCTAAAGCAATCTGTGCAAATTGATCACGCGAGCAAGCATGAAATAATTAGAAAGATATTTCGTTGCGTTTGAATAATTTCCTTTTTCCGGAGAAACGTTGTTCACGCTGGAAAAAGGAAATTCGAAGGTTATTTTGTTGAAACCAGAATGTGTAATGTTGCGTGCAGAAATTTGCAAATTTCGAGATTTTCGTGCGTGCGATGAAAGTGTTTCTGTAGAATCTGTTTTCTTTTTTAATTCGATTTAACTGTAATAGCATATGAACAATAGCGAATTATAGATATTTTGCCTGTCGGTTTGTATCTTCTTTACTTATTTCTGTAGAATTTCACATCAGTTTTTCGCAAGTGTAACAAATGCGAGTTAAGCCTTTCGTTACGAAGGGCGTATGTGTACGCTCCGTAAAAGAGGCCGTTCGTTTACTGAGAGCGTATATACAGGGTGATCCAAGACGTCCAATTTATTTTTACCGTCGACTGAGAAAATCAGGCGACATCAGAATGCACCAGACATTTCATTATTTGTAAATTGAAAAATTAAAAATTTGTTTTATCAAATTAAAGTGTACAGAGGATAAAATTAAGGTAAGTACACCAAAAGACACCAGATAGCAAATTTTCAAAGCGACTAAAGGGTTACACATTAGTAAAATCACACCGTTACTAAATTACTACTTTTCACCATCGTTCTATTAAAAATTATCATCGAAGAGATTGTTGCCTCGCAAGAAATCGCGACGAACCCTCGGTTTGGCGGATTATCGTCATAAACTTGTTCAATTACACTTGACCGCCAGACCGAGGTATCGGTCCTCTCGCGCGTACCGTACCCCTCGTGGAGAGGTCGCGTGCGCGGTGGGAAGTCACGCAGCAACCCTTGGGAAAAACCCAAAAATGGGGGTTTTCTAATGTTAAGCAACAATCCCCTTCCCTTGGAAAGAGCTGCGTCCCACCTAAACAACCTCCTCCAATGAGGAGTCACCATCTACAACCCCCAGAAGAAATCGGCCACCAATCAGCAACTGGCCGAGCGGATAAAACTAAGGAAACGAGGCAGAAGCGCGTCCTTTTTTGGAAGTCTTGGCAGTTGGTCTTACGAAAATTAGTATTTTGATAGTCTCGTGGCGACATCACCTCAAGTATCACTCTGTTGCAAATAAAACTAGTTCCTAGCATTTCACACTGAATAAATCAAGGTGTGATTAAACTCGCGTACCGGTTCGGCAATTAAGCATCGAACATTACGCGACCCGAACAGAGATAATTATTTCAAACTTCTACTTTCCGTATCGAAGTGACAGTAAACCCTTACTCTAGCGAAAAAATATTTCGCGATCATTCTCGATCGTAATCTCGCATCCGAATAAAACATTTAAAACCGTAGCAAGTCATTCTAACTCCCTTTGTGCTTCTATTCTGCTTATTCGAACCGTAGTAAACCAGGCCAATCGCATAGAAAAAATATTTTGTACCGTTCTCGATGACAATCTTTAATCGAGAAATTATAGAAAACAAAGAGGAAGGCCGTCGTAAATTCCAGTTTTGTACGCTGTTCTGCACACACCGAACGTTCACACGCGAGACCGCGATAAATAATCGCGCGCGGGCGAAAAAAACAAAAAAATCGCGTATCTACGTGAACGTCCTCGAAATTCGAACGAATTTATTACGCGACCCAATAAAATAGAACGGTCTGACGTTAAATCAGATTATCGATCTTCATCGATGACCGCGGTCGTGTGGCAGGAAAAGTGTGACTGCCGTGGTGAAATACATCATCCCAACCTCGTACATCCAGGCTAAATGTTTTATGTTTTACCTGGTGCTCGGGGGGCAGTTTCGCGCTTAGGTGCGCTGAACTGTCTGTAATCGGTTTACGATCATAATTCACTTACGTCGGTGGTTCGGTGACACTGGAGGCAGGCTGGGACAGAGAAAAAAAAAGGGGAAAAATACATAGCAGAAAAATAATTACGTCCCGGATAACCTGTAAAATATGATCTAACTGGGAGGGGGGGGAAAAAAAGGACGAGATCCAGAGGATCGAGGAGCAAGGTAAGAACTGAATTCTTACGATCGAAGAATGTCGTGCTTTGATATTCGCTTGAAAGTAGCGAGTCTTGTAACGTGCGACTGATAATAGCCTTTGATACGGGTTTATAGCTTTTTTTTTGTCGTTGTATCCTTTTCTTGCGAAGTAGTTAATTTTATTATGTATTTCATTCGTGGAAAGGTTTATTTCTTTTCTTTTTTGTTGCTTTTGAAAGTGTTTGATTTTTGTGTTTGGTTTGTTTTTAGGTTAGGTGTAATTTTCGTTGGGAACGAGTATTTTAGGCTGAGATAAATTGTGATTTTTAATGTCTGGGAGAATTGGTAAGAAATCAGTGTGATGGTCGTGCTAAATTCTTGTTAAGTAGGTGGTTTACTAAAAAAATTTTGTTTCATTGGAGCAAGCAGATTATAGTAAATTGAAATGAGTTTGGTAGACTTTTTAGCTTGTAAAGTAAGAAATTGAACAGCTGTTAATTAACTATTCTTAATTTACTCCTATTACAAAAATTTTCCCTTCCTTTTGCAATTATGTCATACACTTGAAATAAACTGAATACTTCTATCAACGTCAAATACAATTTTGCTCGTTAGTCGCACGAATAAAATTCATTCTATTATTTCAGGTATTAAAATATCAGCTTTTTCATTCATAAATTTCATCCCATAAAAAAGTCAAACATTTTACTCCTCGTATTAAAATCCAACGTTCGAAAAGTGCAATTTTTCCACGGACAAACGTATCTCGTGAAATCGAACTCTCCAGTTTTCAAAATTAATTCTCTCCCCTTCCAATCCTCCGCTTCGTCGTTTCTTCGCGACCAAGCGTAGTCCGACGTTAAAATTGTCGTCCGGTGGCCAGAAACGAGGCGTTTTCTAATTACAGAGAGAACGTTAAAAGATTACTTGAATAATGGAGGTGTGCCGATGCGGATGCGACGTATCGTCGTCACCAAAATCGATCAATCCGCCGAACGAGCCGTGCTGTTGCTGCAGTTACAACCCCTTCAGTGACAATTCCAATGAATCAGAGCTCTACGACCTCTCGTTTGCCCTGAGGAAGCTCAGCGTAATGAAGTGTCAGATGAAGAAGTGGCGAATGGAACGACTTCAGCTCGAGAGCGAAAATAGGTCTCTGAAACAAGCCCTCCAGACATTCGGTATCGATGTATGATATTTCGTATCCTCTCTCTCTCTCTCTCTATCTCTGTCTCTCTTCGACTCTGCCTCGTCTGCCAGTTGGCTCCTGCGAAATTGATTAATTGGAATTCTGAACGGATACCCTTTCGTCTACGTTCCTTTACCCCCCGCTACGAATTAGCCGTTCGATCGAAAAGAGTAGCGTTCCGTGCAGTTAGCACTGGAAAAAGACGAAACGCGAGGAGTTATACGTACCGGGTGTCTCGGCTCAATTTGATTAGTTTGGAAATATTTCGTCTGTCGTTGATGAAATAAACGGGTATTTTATATTTTAACGCGAGTGTGTTGGACTGTTGTACAATTGGAATTGAATTTTTCAGGTTTGAATAGTGTACAGTGTTTTATATTAGTTGGATATATGTTTGTCTTTATTCTTTTCACTTTGACACTTGTAAGGGCGTTTTTTGATTACTTGCATAATTTATATCTAGTAACATATTTACTTTAGTATATTTGTGCTGAGAGAATGTTTTTATTATATACACTACCGGCCAAAAGTTTGGAATCACTGTGCATTGTAAGTTACACAAAAATTCGCAGAAAAAAGTCAGCAGCTTTAAGAATTTTTTAACGAATTTTGTATTATTCAAATCAATCGATATGAGATAAATTGCTATTTATCTCCACAATATCAATATCAAGTCTATGAAAAATTAGCAGCAGGTTCAGTACTGATGAAAATTGGGAGGTTGTTGTTGTTGTTGTCTTTAATTTACCGGCATCGACTGCTGTTGGTCATTAGCCGGGGACCTACTGTTTAAGGTGGGTTCCGAACCACCGAAATTGGGAGGTGATTCCAAACTTTTGGCCGGTAGTGTATGTGTTATAATATTTTTGAAAAGAAAGAAGTTCTATGGAAAATAATATACTGAACAATTTGATTTTGTGTGACTTAGAAGATGTTTAATTCATATTGCGTGAAATTTTTTAAAAAGAAAATTATTATTATTATTAAACTTGAAATTTTTTTTAAATATACGTCGCAGTACCTTCTGTATTAACCTTTGTATTTTTAATTTTTGTATGGAACGATTGAAAATTTGCGTTCACCATGGGAAAATGCTGGAATATAACTAAATAGAGAAAATGAACGCGGTGTTCGTTTGACGTGATGTAAAAGAGTGCTCTATGCAAAGATAAACACGCGCAAATATATCCAGAGAGGAAACATTTCTTCTCCCTTCATTATTCCAGACTAGTGAAGATATTTTTCACATAAAGGGACAATATTAACTTATTTAAATAGAGCTGGGGCAAAAGTGACACAGGGTGAAAAATTATAAATTCTAGTTTTAATTCTAACGTTGAATAATTTTCAAATAATACGCCAACAATGTACAATTAGTTTGCATTAAATTCTCAACTTTGAAAGATCACATTGTTCTATTAAATTCGTCTTAATATAAGAAACGGTATATCGTTGAAATAAAATAAGTTTAGTAAAAGTACAAAGTTTCTAAAAACTAAGTGCATCATGTATTGTAACAGCAAAAGTCTGAAAGTGCTTGTGAATTGAAGAAATCTATCAATTTAATGGTTCTAACTTTTTCACAACGTCCACAATAAAGTATCAAAAGATCTATAAAAAGTTCTTAATATTCTTATAAAATTGTTCTAGTTTACGATCCTTGAATTTTCATTTTGCATTTTCTCAGTACAAAGAAATCTCTGTAGTATTCTTATTAATCTCTATAAAAGTGCTCATCTTACCTTAAATTATATAAAATGGTGACAAATACCAGCCATAAATAATTTATACAATAACCTAATCTTATACATACACTACCGGCCGAAAGTTTGGAATCACCTGCCAATTTATGTTAATATTGAATCTGCTACTAATTCTTTATTAATTTGAAATTGATATTGTGGAGGTCAATAGCACTTTACCTCATTTCGGTTGATTTGAATGATAGAAAATTCGTTAGAAAATTATTATAAATGCTAGCCATTTTGGGAAAGTTTTGTGCAACTTGCAATGCACAGTGATTCCAAACATTTGGCCGGTAGTGTATATAGGTAATAGGTATGCAATTATTTTTTAATAAATTAGATTTATAAATAAGAAAGATACATTCGTATCAAGTGAACCAAGTCCTTTTCATAGCCACGAGAGTGAAAATTAATAATAATACGGTATCGGGGCCTCCATACCCAAATAGGAAACCGACAAGGGAGAATAGAGAAGGAGTAGAAAAGCGAAAAAAACACAGGACATGCGCCAAATGTCTCCGGACAGGCAACGCAACCCAAAACTTAAGAACAATATTATATCTAAATTAACTATGTAATATGCAGAAGCACTTAAGATACAAATAAAAACTAAACTAAAACTGAACTAATTGGCGTAGTGGGCAAAACGTCGGCTTGCTAATCCCAAGGTCCCGGGTTCGATTCCCGTTTGGGTCCCTCCAAATTTTTCCGTCGACTAAATAATCTATACGATGGTACACTTATGTTACCATCTCATTTATTTATCATCAAAGTTTACACGTTACTTATGATTCACCCCTAGATTCTCCTACTAAATTCTGTAATAACAACCGAACGTTGTTCCTCGAACTAGAGAGGGACATTCTCACTTTAGGGATATTCCCCTTTAAAATCCAGAACGTTGTTTCCCCCTTTTGAATGGTATCTCGCGCACGTGCTCTGTTCCGAATGTTTCTAAAGATTACATGTTTTTGTGTAGGTGTAAATGCGGATGAGATATTGAGGCCTGATCCGTTGCTAGTGCACTCCCGGGAAGAAATCGAAAGGTTGCAAAATGCAAACGCGGCGCTTGAAGATAAAGTGAGGGATCTGGAGGAAACTCTCGGTGAACGAGATTGCTGCGACGATCCTGGAGTCACGATTCACTTCCTCAGGGAAAAGATGAAACATCTCAGAGAGCGTTTCGCGCTTGAAAAGAAAGAGTACTGTTCACAACTTTTCCTGTTTCGTAAACGCAGACCTCATTTGACTATTTCTTCTTCTTTTTTTTTCTTCTTCTTCCCAAGAACGAATCGTCGATGGTAAAAGTGAGATTTCGCGTGTTAGGGAGGAGTAAACGAGCGTTGAAAAATTGACGTGATTCGAAATCGATGAAAGAATCGCGAATAAAAATTTTTCTAAGAATTTTTGTATATGTTAGGCGTAGAAATACATTTGGTACCTTTTTTCCAATAAATTTTTGACGATTTTGTCGACTCGAAACTGCCATATGTTTTTGAGAGAGGGAATTCGTCTTATTTTGTTATTATTCATTGATATTTCATATAATTTTCGACTTTTTATTTTTCATCTGTGCTTCGGAATTTTAACGAAGCTGGGAACAAATGAAAAATAATAGCGCGGTTGTTAAATAGTTTTATTCATTATGGAAGTATTTTGGGGTACTTAGTGACAAAGATGGAATTATGTTTCAAATAGTTCCATTCATCGCCTATGCAGATCGATATCTCGTTATTATGATGCTGCGAGATAATAATATATCAAATTAAGTAACTGTACTGCTATGTAATTAATAATTAGATATCACTTACAGTTTAATTTATTCTTTGTTACCAAAGCTGAACTTCTCAGATAGACAAATATTCACTGCTTAAAATTCCTGCCTTTTATTTATATTATTTTTTAATTTGAAAATAAAATAACTGCAGCTACATGGCAGAATTTATACAATACTTATTTTCTGAGTATTAATATAATTCTAAAATTACTAGAATAATATACAAAAGACGATAAAAAAGAAATTACCAACAATCAACTTTTAATATTCCCCACACATAAATTCTAAAATTAATCAATCAATTCTAAAGAACCGACGAAATAAAATCGAAACAAAAACCATCGATTTACAGTTACTTCACACTTAAACTAGACCCATCAACCCTTAACATTCCCCACAAAAAATTCAAAAATCAGTCAAACGATTCCAGAGAAGAAAACACTTACAACAACGAAACCTTCTCGTCGTAAAACCTTCCATCACTTCGATCTATCAACAGTGCCAAAGAAACTTCTCTATTCTCGACAGACAGCGAGACATGATATCTCATTTGAAGTTGAAGTTGGCGCAGACCGAGGAGGACGTTAGCTGCCCGGCGATCTATCGTCTAAGGGCGAAGCTGCGTGAACTGATGAAAGGTGGCCAAACAGCGGACAAGCAAGTTTCGAAAGTAGTGGAAAGATCGATCGAAACTCTGACAGATCTTTCCAAGGATTGCGACCACCTTCGACTGGAGAACGAGCGTTTGCAGGCCGAGATGGCCGAGTTGCGTGCCGCGTTGGCCAAATTCGAAGAGAAACAAGCTCTTCCGGTGTCGGTGCTGAGAGCAGCCGAGACAACCACCGTGCCCGAGTACATGGATCTCTCGGAGCTGTTGGAAAAATTGAACAACTGCGAGGAGATCGCGACGGATTTGAGGAGACAGCTGGAGGAGAAGGACAATCTGATCGATTCGCTGCGTAAGGAATTGAAAGGGGCGGGCGACCAGAGAGATCTGCTGGACCAGCTCGAGGCACTGAAAGCGGAACTGAAGAAGAAAGATGACAAGGTATCAAGTCGGTTCGAAACTGCGAGACGGGTGAACTTGTTTAATCCAACTAATGGAGCCGACTTCTGTCTCGCTGAACTGATTTTTCTCTTGTGTGATATATGTTGAAATGCTCCTTCGAAAGATTCGTAGAAGTAGGAAGAGTAGTTGTCGTAGAAGGGATGTAAAATGTGCACGTAATCAGTGTTTAAAGCTTTTCTCTTCTTTTTCTTTTTTTGCTGGAGGAAGATACGCGAAGTAAAGTAGAAATGGAGAAGTTTGAATTGTTTTTTGGGCGACGTAAAATAGGTCACTTAATTGTTTTCTTTATCTATGGTGGTAAGAGAACATTTTTAAAATTGTTCTTTTTAGCACTTACACTGTTTGTCATACGAATACTATGAAATTTCAGCTTTGTCATATTTATAGATTTAAAGGGAAAATAAATAGTTGTGAAGATTGCAGCCATTTTTGTTTCTTTCAACCACAGCGAAGTTGACACTCGCTATTTTAGCTCTGAAAGTTAAAATAAAGAATTCTAGCATTTGCAGCGTTTATTACTCTATCAAGCATGGAATTTACATCCTTCTTCACTGAAAAGATAAATTTTTTTGTCGACACTTCATCGTTTACCATTTAATCTCCTCGATCAGAGACATCAACCGATCTCATTTGCACGATTCAACTTTTACCAAAGTACAACCCAACTCCCTTTCAGATGGCAGAATTGTTGGACAGCCTAAGACAGAGCGAAATAGACGGTCTCGTGGTGAACGACCTGAGGTCCGAACTGGAAAACCTGAAGCCTCAATTGCAGGATCTGAAGAACGAGAGAGACGAGTTGTTGGCAGAGCTCGCTAAACTGCGGGAAGCATTGAAAGATAAGGAGGACCAGCTAACCAACATATTGGAACAGAAGAGTAAAGACGAGGACAGGTACAACGAAGCGTTAGCTCGTGAAGCACACCTGAACCAAGAGATCACCGATCTCAAGTCTCAAATGGACAGTCTGAAGAACGAGCTGGAACAGTGTAGAAATCGCAGCGCGGAGCTGGAGAAGTGTTGTTTAGACAAAGACGCTCTCGCAGAGAAGCTACTCGCCCTAGAAAAGCAACTCTCATCCGCGAATGCAACGATAGACGATCTCAAAGCAGAGATGACCAATTTGAAGAACGACAAGGAAGGACTGTTACAAGAATTGGAAAAACTGAAGGAACAGGTGTGGACGCTGACCGGAGAGCTGGAGAACGAGAAGAAGGCGAGGAACGGTTTGGAGGAGGAGCTGAAAGGTAGCCGAGATGAGATGGAAAAGTTGCGGAAGGAGAATTCGGATCTGAAGGCTCGAATGGACGACATGAGGGAGGAGAACGATAAACTTCGCGAGGCGGCGGAGGCGTCGAAGAGACTGACGGAGGAGAACGAGAAGTTGAAGGAGCAGCTTGCCAATCTGAGGAACGAGAACGACGAGATGACGAAGAGGCTGAAAGAGCTCGAAGGTCTGAACGACGTTCTCAGGTCCGATTACGACAACATGAAGCGAGCGTTGAACGATCTCGAAGAAGAGATCGGCCGATTGGAGGCTCGACTGAGCGAGACTGCGAGGGAACGCGACGCTCTGTCGAACGAGAACGACAACATGAGGAAGCAACTGGACCAGGCGAGGGCTGAGAACGAGGGTCTAAAAAGTGACATCGGCAAACTGATATCGGAGAAGGACAACCTGCAGAAGAATCTCGACGCGATCAGGCTCGAGAACGAATCGCTGAAGGAAGACGTGAAGTCATTAAAAGACAATCTCGAGGAGACGAGGAGGCAGGCGGAGGAGCTGAAAGCTGCTGGCGATGCGTTAAGAGCGGCGGATCAGGGTAAAAAGTCCGAGGTCGAGAGACTGGAGCAGGAGTTGGGGAGTTTGAAGTCCGAACGGGATCGTTTAACGAACGAGAATGCCGATCTGAAAGCTAAAAACTTGGAATTGGAACGAAAATTGGAGGACCTCGGGAAAGAATTGGAAAAAATGAAGTCCGAAAATGCTGATTTACTCGGCGAAGTGGATCGTCTGAAGCGAGAACTGGAGGGAGCTGAGAACGAAATTCGTCGATTAAAAGCTGAGATAGATAGTTTGGAAAAGGAGCTGAACACTTGCGTCGACGAGATGGAGAAGCTGAAAACTGAGAACAGCGAGCTCAGATCGGAGAATTTGGTGATAAAATCAAAAATGGAGGAGGCTAAGGGTCAAGGAGACAGTTTGGAGGTGGAATTGAACGGTTTGAAGAATGAAAATTTGGCTTTGAGGAACGAGAGAGATCGACTGAATGAGCAGTTGAGCGAATGCAACGCGGAGAACGCGAAGCTGAAGACGGAGCAGGATCAGCTGAGAAGCGAGAACGAGAAGCTCAGAGGAGAAATGAACGCGTGCAGAGACGAAAACGAGAAGTTGAAGGCTGAGCTTGAGAACATGCGTGGACAATTGCAATCGTTGAACGACGAATTGAGCAAATTCAAGGCTCAACTGGACGAAGCTGAGAGTAAAATTCGTTCGTTGGAGCCTTTGGTTTCACGTTTACAAGGTGAGAACGATAAACTGAGAAATGATTTCGCTGCTTTGGAGAAAGAGGCGAATGATTTGAAAGCAAAAATTGGCGAAGAAACGAGCGACAATCAGAAGATGAGGAACGATGTGATGATACTGGAGGATAAAGTGAAAGATTTGGCGGCGAAATTGGACAGCGCAAGAGCGGAAAATGATAGTTTGAAAGCGGAGAATCAGGAACTTAAGGCAAAGTTGTTAGATCTGGATGAAGAATTATCAAGTTTGCGGGCTGAATGTGCGGACGTGAAGGCGGAAAACGCTGATTTGAAGAAGTTAATCGATGAACTGAAGGCAAAGATTGCTAAACTGGAGGCAGACGTGGAGCACTGGAAATTGGAGAGTTGCAAGCACCAAATCGAGATGGATAAGCTGAAAGCTGACCTTGAGAAGGCACTGAAGGATTTGAGCGAATGCCAGGTAAAAGAATTGACGTTTAGTTTGTAGGAGTTTTTTTTTAGTTTCATGGTGCAGAAGGCAAAGTGTATTTTAGAATGATAAGAATTTTAATCGTGAAATGTGCAGTAAAATAGAAGAGAAATTCGAATTTGTTTACATATAAAACATCTCCCAATTTGCTAAGCCTGTTCCAAATGCGACAGTATTTCTGATAATTAACATTCGTAAGTTAGCAAAACTATTTCTGAATATTTTGAAGAAAAAGAATAATTTTGATCGTGAAATACAAGAGAAATTCGAATTTTTCGCAGATAAAATATAGCAGACAATAGACAATATTTCTAAAAATTAACATTCGTAAGTAAGCAAAACCATTTCCGAATATTTCGCAGAAAAATTGAAACATTAAATTACATTTTCACCAACAGCGTTTGCTCAATTAAATTTCACTTCAAATTTCAACAGTCCAAGAACAAAGAGCAAGAAGCAGAACTGAGACGTCTACAGAACGAGAAAGCCGAAGCTGATAAGAAACTCGCGGACGTAACGTCGCAGCTCGAGCAACAAAAGAAAGCTCTGGAATTAGAAAAATCAGCGAAAGGAAAGGGCGACTCGGAGATCGCTGACTTGAAGTCCGAATTGGAGGCTCTGAAGAAAGAGCTAGAAAAATTAAGAGCGGAGAATAGCAAATTCAAAGGCGAAATAGACGATGTAAGAAGACAGCTCTCAGCAGTGACGAACGAGTTGAACAGTTGCAGAGACGAGATCGCAGCACTGAGGGACGCCAACAATGCGCTAAAGTCTGATTTGAACGCTTTAAAAACCCTGAAGGACGAGCACGACAAGCTTCAGGCCGAATTGAACGCCTTAAAAGCGGAAAACGCGAGCCTGCAACAAGACAGAAAAAGGTTGGAAGAAGAGCACGACAAACTGAGAGGCGAGGGCGACGGTCAGAAGTTCGAAATAGACAAACTAAGATCTGACTTGACAGCGGAGAAGGCAACTGCAGAAAAACTGAAGACAGACCTGGAGAACTGCAAAGCTGAAAACGACAAGTTGCAGATACAACTGAACGAAGTGAGGAAAGACCTGGAGAAGATGAAAAATGAAATCGATCTACTGAAAGATGAGACTGCTAAACTGAAGAGTCAGGTTGCAGCCGGCGAGGCTAAGGTGAAGTCTCTGGAAAACGAACTTTCGGATCTGTTATCCGAGAAGGAGGAGTTGGTTAACGAACTCTATCGTCTTCGAGAAGAGCTGAGCAATCTTAGGAACGAACTGGAGAAACAGAAAACCGTGAGGGACGCGGCCATGAAGGAGTTGGCCGAGCTGAAGGAAGAGCTAGCCGCTCTTAGAGCGGCGCTGGATAAGGCTCGGGCTGAAAACGAGGCGCTGTCGAACGAGAATGAGAAGCTGAGAGGGGAGCGGGCGAAGTTGAATAAGCAGCTGGAGGCACTGGAGGGCGAAAACGCGAATCTGAAGAACGAGAAGGCGGAATTGGCGACGCAGTTAGCCGAGACGAGTAGCAAACTGACGGACGCGGAGAATCGGTTGAACGATATGAAGGATAAAATTGTCGATCTCGAGAACACGTTGAAGGGGGCTGAAGCGTTGAAGGGAGAGCTGGATGACGCTAGGAGGGAGCTGGATAGGCTGAGAGAGGAGTTGGATAGATTGAATGCGCGAAACGCGAAACTGGAGAACGAGCTGAACGAGGCGAAGAACGAATCGAAGAAATTGAAGGAAGGTTTGGATAAGCTGAAAAATGATTACAACGGTTTACAATCGGAATTAAGCAAAGCGAGGGAGGAGAGGGAGAAACAGAAGGATCGCGACGCGTCGTTGAGGGGCGATATAGAGAAGACGAGGAAGGAGAACGAAGAGTTGAAGAGCCAGTTGAACGATTGCCACGAGGAAAACGAAAGGTTGCGCAAGGAATTGGAAAACTTGAGGAGAGAAAATAGCGAACTGAAGGACGTCCCAGGTCTGATAATTGTCGCAGTAGCGTCTCGATTGTTTAAACACTCGTTATTCAAATTAGACAGCTTAGAGCGTTGTACGTCATTCGACGAAGTCACTTTGTCAATTCAAACGGTATGGCTAATGGACGGTGTTTGATATTTACCTTAAGCGAAATTTAGTCGGATATTGATTTTATTCTGACTTGAAATTTTTCTTCTCGTTTTTTTTTAGTTTGACTCATATTTTTAGTAAAAAATTGACTCTTAGGTGTGAATATAACGGAACTCATCCATTTATTTTAAATAATTAAATAATTAAATATTATTATTCTACAATATAAATATCACTAATTTATACATTGACATGACTTTCTCCTCGGCGATTTTTTATTTACTTTGTTTCGACTTCAAATTTACTTCCTTTCTTAATTTTGCTCTGTATGTTTATTCAAAAATGGACACCTAGGTATGAATAAAATGGTATTCAACCGATGATATTTCTCATGTTATAAATGTCATTAATTATACATTGAATTTGAAGCAAAAATTATTATGATCTCTCCAAATTAGAAAAAGTGAAAAATTGGTAGAACTATCATATCGTGCATGAAAACTCACGCTTATCTCGTTATTAAAATGATTTCGCTAAATGAATTCGCATAATGAAGGTGTTACACAATGCTATTAGTATGAGAATATACTTTTTAACGTCTAAGTACTAATCCGTGGTGTGTCTGTTGTTGAAACGCTATTACGCCATTTCCTTTTCACGAAACTGTAATTACATACTGTCAATGAAAATGAATGCAGTGAGAAAGCTGGAGCCAAAGGAGACGGAAATGGACAAAGATATTCTGGATGAATGCGGCGACTTCATTAAGGCGAACGAATTACTGTGGAAAAAATTTGAAAGGCAGAACGAAGGTAAAAACTGTATAAAGATTCTTTGTAAGTGGAAGGAAAAAAAAAGAAAAAACGGGGGAAAGAGAAGAAACAAAAAAAAAAAAAGAACGAAGAGAAGTATGAAAACTGATTCTTATCGTTTTATTGCTTCTCTTAACCCAAGAATTCGTAACCGTTATTTATGAACGAGACACTGAATAAGACCATTCAGAACTTTTAATTGGTGGTTCAGCCCGATCAGGCTGAATAAGTTTCGTCGACTTAAAAAAATTTTTCCGGATCCTAGGTGTAAATAATACAGCCGTCAATGGTCTCGGCTGGCGGGATAATTTGAACGGATGATCCGAGAAAAAAATAAGTCGTTCAGCTTTTAATACCGATGAATGACGTTAATGTACCACTGTAGAATCGATTATCCGGCTACTTTGAAACCACCAACGGCCGTGAATATTTATAAACGCGCGCGTTTTATCACTTCGTCGGCTAAGAATTATAAATATATATATTTTTCTCGTTACGTGGTAAAAATAAATATCCGCGGGAAAGTTTGTAGTTCAAGAATATTTTCACCACGTGCCACTTCCCCCATCGTTGGTTTTAAACGGAGAGCCAAAGTTCACGGCGGATACAGCTAACATTCTATGCCCACTACATGCAGGGTATATTAATATTCTGACGTAATATCACGTTAATTGAACCGGCAGGAAATTAAAAATATATTGAAAAACGAGAAGGTTACGAGTTTTTTAATGTCAGAAAAGTGGGGTTAAGTGTTCTTTTTTTTTTTTAAGTAGATCGTGTTATATATTGATTTTTATTGTGACGAATTTTTTAACGAGTTATGTGATTTGGTAATTTGGTTAGTTGTCGAAGTAATTTTTGTAATGTTAACTTAAATTAGGTGTGCTGCGCGTTCGAGATTACATTACTTATTTAGAAGGTAAAGGAGAGGAACCTAAAATGGCGGACAACTTGGAAGAACCGGAAATTGATCCACAACTGAGGAAAGATATAGCAGATTTGTTTGAAAAGTCTCAAGCATTGTCTGAAAATATTCATCGAACTGAAGAAGAGATACAGAATCTTGCTAACTTATTGAAAGAGTCCGCGGTATGTACTAATCATAGTATTAATCGAAAGAAGAAAATAATTAAGAATGTCATTTTCAGTGACTTAAATAAAATTCGTTTCCAAATATTTGTATTTTTCGTTTTATAATGCAACCTTCAATATATTCGATAATAATATTCGGTAAAAATATATTCAAGGTTTTTTTAAATTTCTTATGCTGTAGATCAATATTTTGTTAAATTAACTTTCTATAATATTTCTTTTCATCGTCTTATATGAAGTATATCAAAAATTAAGGAGTAAATTCAATACGAAAAATAAAGAAAAAATTAAACATTAAAATTTGAATAAAAATGTTTATTCAAAATTGTAAGAATATTAAAAAGAACGACACTTATACGTACCAAAAAATTTTACTTTATTATTTTAATATACCATCGTTCATATTAAACCTGACAGGATGCAGAGGATTCTGGTGAGGTACCAACAACAGCTTTCGATCCTGATTCCTGGCTGAGCGTAAGTCTCGAGATAGCATTTATCAAATACTCTTAAAAATACTAACATCGTCACACTTTTTCTTACATTTGTACACTATTAATAGTTGTAACGTCACGCAAATCTGGTATACGTATACGTTATTGAATCGTGCATTATCCATGCACTGTATTATTGACGTTAGTTACCTCGTGTGAACGACGATGTCTGATGAAGATTAATGATGTAGCTTAACAAATGAACGAGTCTGATAGATCTAATAAATCATTCTGTGTTCGCGAATTAATAAACACCCTGTAAAATCAGATGTTTAAAAACCCAACTTCGAGCTTGTTTTAAAATTTGACAAATTTAATTTCAAATAACCAGCATTCGTACCATTTTTTTAAATTTTAGAATTCATGTTAACTAAGAATTTTTCACTCCTCTCGATGAGATCTGTAAGGTCCTAAAATCTCAGATACTTTCTTTTTTGCACCCGGTATATTGAACATTCGCGAAGAAAGAATTCAATTCGGAGACGTGTAATAAAAGTAATCATTCCTTTGACAGAGGATGTTAAAGGAGTGTAGTAGAATTCCATCTAACAGAATACTTGGGAGAACAAGACATTTCGGGCAACTGGATTCTCCAGATGATAGAAACTCGATGATTCTCTTCTCGTTCTGTAAAGCTGTTTTGCAAAAAAAGGATTACTTCTGTTGAACAAAACTAAATGGTCAAAATCAAACAGATAATTATAAAGGGGAAAGTTATACGTTCTAAAAATAAATTATTTATGTATCAAATAATTTCCAATTAATACATAATTATTTACAAAACCATCATCACCATGTTATATCATCTTCAAATAGTAATTTTCACACGACCAATTTTCCTACGATCAGAAATTTTGGATTATCCACGTGAAAATGAAGAAAGCTCGCAAAAACCTACTTTAAAAATCATCCTGCACGTTGCAAGCTACGATACAACGTGTTATCAATGAAAACAACGTTTGTTTCTTTGCAGTCACTGACGTTGACGCAGTTGGCAGAGCTTCACGATAAGATTTGCCTGTTGACATCGGACATGGTGCAACAGGACAGCAAAGCAGTGACATGCGATCAAGTCTACGAGGCAGGGAATCCACTGGGGGCGGATTACAATATTTTGAACAGGCGAATAGCCGCTCTGCAGAAACAGATAGCAGAGAAGCAAATAGAGGCTAGCTGGAAGCTGCAGGAGTTGAAGCGGTCTCTTCGTACTGAACAGGCTAACCTAATTCAAATCTCTGACCGAATGAATTTAGAGAGAAAACGCAATTTCGCCCTTCAATTCACCATGGACGATTCACATTGATACGTTTCTCTGTTAACCTCTTTCGAGATGTCCTTTTTTTCTTCCCTGAGACATTTCACGGACGAGAAGAACGTCCTTCTTCGATCCTCATAGCTGACCAATCCGCGGAGAATTCTAGGACCAACAGCCTGTGTCAGACGATACAAATTAAACGTGTATTTTAAGGTACCTGCTTTTTTCTCGTTGATCACCGATGTAAGTGTTTGTAAATAAAAAGTGAAGTATCTCATGATTAGTGTGACTATTAAATTATTATCGTGCAGAGTATTGCAGTAAAGTGACGAGGAGTTCGAGTATAAACTTGGTTTTTTTTTTAAGAAATTGACGATGAGAATTTTTCTAAGTATATTGGTAGTATAGTGTTAATAGTAAAGAAGAAGAAATCACTTTGAATTTGAGAGAAAAGGAGGCAATTAACAGTTGTGTTTGTATATAGGAAATTTGGACATCGTTTCAATTAGGTATTCCTACATTCCTAAGAACACATGAAAATGGACTAATTTTGTAACGGCAGTCAAATTATTCAATCAATTTAAGATTAGATTAGGCAGTTAATTTGCTCAATTCACCATTTCGTCCTGTGAGTCCTTTTTCCAAAGAGCTCCTCGAGTGATCGAAAATAAATCACTTCGATATTGAAAGAAAACGAAGCAATTAGTAAATCTTGACATTGTTTAAATTATTTATGAATTTAGATATGAAATTATCTAAATTATAAATTGTTTAACAACAGTCATATTCTACTAATCAGTCGATTTACTCAATTCGCCATAATTTCGTCCCTTGACTCGTTTCTCCAAAAATGCCATCGACTGATCTTCCAACGAAAAAAAAAGACAAACAAACCAGGAAAAGAAATCAACTTTTACCCCAGTTTCACTCACAAACCGAACGACGGTGAACGTAAAATTTCTCCCAAATTGACCAACAGACACAGTTCATTCCACGGAGGTCGATATGAGCTCGCATTCCGAACAGATCAGGCCGCTTCACGATCGTATAAACTACTTCTGCCCCAGTAATTTAATCGCGTCGCATCCTAATTAATGAAGCGCGGCGCACAGGGGCAAATTCGGTGGGGGAAAGACGAAAAAAAAATAGAGAGAGAGAGAAAAAAAGAGGAAGCGCGCGAGTGAAACCAATAACGAGCAACGTTCTGGAAAACAGTAACGGCTAATAACGACCAATAGATTCGGCGCGGTCGTATTTGCTCGATTTTGCACGCGACAACGCGATTTCCTGTTTCGTTTCAGGGCACGGTGTTGTTCGATCGAGATTAATTCAATTGTATCGTGGACCGCATCCGTTCCCACGACTTTATCAGGAATCGTCGGTGTGGCTCACGTGTGCACGCCTGTGATGGGACACTGCCGGATACCACCGACAAAGAGTACACATATAATTGAAATGTGCGACTAGATCAAGTGGTAAATGAATTGACGAAATCCGTTTAGCCGTATGTCCATCCAGTCGGAATTCGAATAAACTCGTTGTAACGGCGTATGAGCGTATTATCGGAGGCCATGGTCTACAATTAAGGGCATTTTTTTTTAAATTCACGTTTCATTCGGTTGGTTTATCCAGCGCAAATTAACCGTTTCAGGATATATACGGTTCGTTTAAGTTGTTAACTGGGCAAGACGAGTTAACTCGTCGTTGGTTCGTTAACGTTTGAGGCACTCAGAAGCCTGAGTGACTAATTTCAGCCATCAAATTAAGTTTGTTAAATTTTTTTTATTTTTAAAGAGTTAAGCATCGAGCATGAGTTTTGATACTAAAATTGGAAGAATTTGTGATAGTGGAGATAATCATTTTGGCTCACTTAAGAATTATTCATTTTAAATTGCACTGTAATTGTTCATATATACCGAATTTTTATTGTAAGCTAGGAAGATTGAATTTCTGCTTGAGAAGTGAAAGCGGTTAACAGGTTAAAGGGGTATTCTAGTTTTCACAGTGAAAAAAAGTCGATTTTCGTCCCTTCAATATGGACGATTGCCAATGAAAAAGAAAAAAATGTGTTAAATATATTTTGTAGTATTGTTTTTGGTATACTAAAGTTTCATCAATTTCGGGATATCCCCTTGCAAGGATAACGTAATAGCAGTGCAAGTAATGGTTATCAGGTTTCTTACTAATTCCGATTTTCGTGCAAAGTGTCATTAAGTAGTCGCTGTTTGTAGCTGCAAGTAGTAGTTTCGCGGCTGCGATATAAAAGATAATGACTGCCGATAAAATCGTAGATCTTGCGGATGTTACATTAACACATGGAATATCTCTCCACGAATAATACTGCGAATGACAAAAGCAACGTTCGATGTTGCTTACGACGAAGTAGGAAGAGGACATTTGGATCATCTGGCAGAATGTTTTTCTGGCTCCTTGCGCTTTGTGCGCTAAAATGCTGTGTAGTGCAGGTAAGCATCGAATAATTTAAACAATTGTCAATTTTTAGATTAATGCGCTATATGTGATTAATACAATATATAATTTTAGATTTTTGTGTAATGTGAATATTATGTTAATCTACAGAGTGTTTCCTTTATCCTGAAAAATTGGAATATCTTCCGAGGGAGTGAATGTGTCAAAAAAATGTTCAAACCAAAGTTGTTTGGTATAAAGTCGGACATCGTATGGTGTAAATTGTTTTTTCTCAGGTCGAATTGCGAGGGGAATTTCTAAGTTCGTTTCTTTAAATGGAACCATATTTTTTTTTTCATAGTATATCACGTGCCATACGAGGTAATTTATTGTTGTAAAATGTTACATGGTGTCTCTTTTCATACCAAACAATTTTTGTTGAAACATTCTTTCGCTGGGTTCAGTCTCTCACGAGATATTCCAATTTTTCCGGATAAAATAAAAGTCATTTTGTGCAAGGTGTAAAAAATTATTTAAATTATCTGTTATTCATGGAAGGCTGAATTCGACGTGATTTTCGAGGATGTTGACTGTAACGAGATACACCCAGAATATGTCAAATCATGCGACATGGAGTTAAATTACGATAGCGAGTACGGAGCGAATGTGGACACACATTTAGAAATAATCAAACCATTTCCTGAAGGTCTAAAGGTACGTACTCGGGACGTTATTAATCATGGCTATTGATAATATATTGAAATTTAATTTGAAGAATTGTGGAAGAAGACGATAGAATATCGAATGTGCTATAATAAAATTTACGTGGCATTAGGTTGCGATTTTTAGTAGTGCTGAGTCAAATGGTGGTGTAACTTTAATGTTAAGAATATCGACAATATTATTCGTCAAAATTTCGAATTGAACAAACAATACGATTTGAGAAGAAATTGACGAAGTCATGTTTATTATCAGCTTTCGTGCGTAACTTATCAGCTTAATTATTCAACGATAGAGAGATATCCATTACTTTCGATACAAACAAAAAAAAAATAGAATTATCAAGAGAATTTTTCATAGCTTAATATAAAACAAGGTGATACGAAAATGATGTTATTAATAATCCTAGTTCTTCTGAAATTTCTTAATTATTATTTCTAAATAACTATCATTAATAATTATTAATACTCATTTCTAATTATTAAGAATATTAATATTCATTTTTAATTACCAACCCCTTAACATATGACAACGCGTCAGACTCGTGGCAGAGATTCTGGTGAAAATGTGAGAAAAATAGTTATATTAGTAAGAAAAATTCATCGTAACCCTAACATTCGTTTGAATTCGTAAGACTGAAGATTACTAAATGTAATCAATCTGTAACAGATCCGCTTTAGTTACCCGATACAGTACTAAAACGTTAAATGGCTGACGCTTAGATGCAAAGTCAGAAAAGAAATCATAGTTCAGGGGGTTAAGAATATTAATATTCTTAATACTAATATTAATATTCCGAATTAATATTAGCATTATAAAATAACAGTTTAAATTAGTATTGACCTACTACTCTACGTTCTTTCACAGATAATAGCAGACGTAATTGCAGTACAAATGGGCGAATACACTCTTAACGTTGGAGTTCACCTGGATACAGATTTTTGCGAACTTGCAGAGAGCCCTAATTCTCTAGCTGTTCCTATATTGAGAGCAATCAATATGGATAGTGGTACCTGTCCTCCGGAACCGGTGAGTAAACTGTACTAAACTGAATTATGGCACGCTAAACAATTTTTCCACATAATAACAATATTTAAAATTTGTAATTTATCTTTGTTCAAATTCCAATGTTTTGTGAAAATTAACAGCAAATTCATTTCTAAACCCATTGCATTTTAGGGAATTTATGAACGAGAAGGTTACGTACTAGACAGCATGGATGGTTTACCGTCAGCATTCCCTGCTGGTCATTATTTACTGAACATGTCGTTAATATACGAAGAATCTGTATTGTTTCACCTAGATGTTTATTTAAGAATATATTGATTGTAATGCTTAAACCAATTTTTTAAGGCTATCTTTGTAAAAGTACACGAACAATAGAGATTAACTTGCAAGCACATGATACGTAGTGAATTCATTTCCTATTTCATGTGAATTCATAATGACGATTTTTATAGAAATATTCATGCAGTTAGTTAATTAATATATTAGGCGTAGAAATGAATTCTTTCAAATTTTGGGTATAATCAAATTTTTATTTAAAAAAAATGAAGACGGATCAATCACTGAAATAATTTCCATTATTATTGACGACTTTTCGCCATTTTTCTGACAGTTTGCGAATACCATCGCGATAGAAACTCAGTGGCTTTGAATTAATTATGCGAATCCAGTCGGAAAGAATTCATTTCGACTAACATGTTTACAGATTAAAATGTTCAATGTTTAATTAAAAATAGCAAACACAGAAGGAAAAAGTGTACGTACTCCTCGTTGATGGAAAAGTTCCACGAAATATGTAGTTCTGTTTAACTAAATACAATATTTACAATCATTAAAAATTTCTTTTCTCAGTGGAGTTTTCTCTGAAACAAATTACTTTAATTTTACGTTAAACTAGACAAAGAAAGCTGTTACTCGTACAGCCCAATTTCGAAAAAATGAATTTTCATAAAAATGGCAGCTGTTAGAACCGAAACGCGAAATTTTCACCCCAAAATTGTCAACTTCTTTCGTTAAAGTGATCGCGTTACAAGGTTCACCCTGTGTATATTTATATATTTTCTCGAGGCGGCATAGAGAATTGCGTAAAGTAAATTTTACGACGTCCTCGTAGATGAGGGATGCGAAATAAAATTTAACGCGGCAGCGCATAACGACGTTTTTTATTCCTCGCGATATTGTCGTAGGCTATAAAATGCGACATTTAGATCGGCCAAGGAGCTTCAGAGAGAGAAAAAAAAGAGGTGGAAAAGATAAATAAAACTATAAAATAACGAGTTGATCACGTGTATATAAGTAACGTCACTTTACTTCTCTTAAAAATGGTAACGATCGAAGATAAAATGGTAGCGAGTAGGTACGTTGAATATATTATTATACAATTTGACCGTGTAACGGAGAATTGAGCGGTGCGGTAAGTGCAGTTTTAATTTCCGACGGATATTATTCGGTAAATAGGGAACAAAATGGTTTTCAGGGTTATTCAACATTCATTCGTTCAACTCGTCACATCCTGATCTGTATCTCATTTTCGAACAGCAGTATGAATAAATTTACGCCGTTTGAATAGCAGAATCCTTCCTGTACCGTAATAACGTTGCACGCTCCTATTTAAGGTTTGCGAGTAATATTATTATTGCGATACGGATACTTTGGTATGTGTAAACGAAGTCAATTTCACTTGTAAATTTTTATGCAATTTTCAAGCTTATCCGCGTGAAGTTATGGAAGTTTATAAGGTGTGATAACAGTGCAAAAGCAATTGGTACTAGGTCATCTCGTAAGTTCGTGTCGAATTTTGTAATTTAAATCAATATTTCCAAGAAACCTTTTTATTTTTTTCGTATTTTCTGTGTTTTAAAATAGAGAATTATGCTCTCGTGAAATGTTCGAGTGTGTTTTTCTTTTGGAAAGGAGAAGCTTCGTGATATCGTGTAACAATTGTACAAAAGCAATTTCAATCTCAAATTGGTGTTAGATCATCCCATAAGATAGTGTCGAATTTTATAATTTAAATCAATATTTCCAGGAAACTTCAAATTTGATAAAAAAAAAAAAAAAACGTAAACACATCTTTTTCTTATTTTTGGAAGACCATTATGCTGTCGCTACAGAATTCCCTCGGATTTTCCTTGATATATTTCTCGAATTTATGGGACGACCTAATATACAAATGAAAATCGACGTGTCTCTTCTTATTTTATTGTTAATTTCATCTTTCTCGTTGATTTGAGTAAATTATCATAAGTGCCTAAGTCTTCGTTTCGAGATAGAATTAGAATTTGAATTTTCCCTTAGAGTGTATTAAAAAGTATTTTTTCATTATGCAATCAAATGTTTCACAAAATACTTGCTCTTGTAATATGAATCTTTTCAATCAAGAAATCGACGTAACACAAAATATGTGATAGATTTTCACTTTTAGACCATTTTCATAATCATCAGCACATACGTATGTATTCGTACATTTTTGTTATGAAATTGTTAACTTTAATCTAGCTTATTAGAATACGTCTACTCTTATGTTAATTAGATCACTCTAATTAATAAACAACAGAGATATATTCTTTACGTGACTTGGTAATTATACATAAAACAGTTTGACAAGTGTGTTTCTAAGATGGTGAATAAAGTATGAAAATTTTCAGATAACATGGAAAGTGAGAAATCGACTGTATTTTATAAATTCAACAAAGCATTGTAGATTTTTAATTTTGTCACATGGAGAGCATCGAAAAGCATAATTCATTATTCCCGTTGCCTATCAATCATATTTTACGTGAAATTTTCTCATTCGAAGCTTATTAATTAGCTAGACGTATTCCACGTATTCCAATCAACTCAACTCTTAAATAATACACGTTAGCAATAGTTAAATAATCCACGTCGTTAATAATTCTGTCACACGTCAGTAATTAATATTTAATCAATTCAACATGCTTCCTAAAATCTTACATTTTATTCACGTCACACAATCAATATATTAACGTATTATGTATGTGTAATTATAAGACGGATAAGATGATAAATTTACAAATTGGAATGTAATTTTACAAGATCTTCTGAAAATCTATCGTTACCTTTAATATTTCAGACTTATCGAAATTTGAACTCGTTTTATGCTACTTCATGGTGTCATAAATATCGTCAAATGCCCACGCATAATACATTTCTAACACCATAAAATATGTAACCTATCAATTTCTAACGATTGTCTCTATTTTAAAGTTTAAGAACGTCAGAAATTTGTAAATGTAAATTGTAACACGTATTAAGGTATTATCAGGTCTGTACAAAAGTTCTTACCGCCTTTAAAAGGCACTGTATGCTTCTTTTTTTATTAAAACTTTCACAGTTAGCATTTATTAATTCAATATACCGAATATAGTACTAATGTTGTATTATTACTATTTTCACGACGATAAATTGTAAGTGTAATAAAAAATAAATACGATTATTATTATTTTGATAACGACTAATTGTAAATAAAGTAAAAAATTTTCACTGTCAGCATTTATTAATTCAATATACCGAATATAGTACTGATGTTGTATTATTACTATTTTCACGACGACAAATTGTAAATGTAATAAAAAATAAATACGATTATTATTATTTCGACAACGACTAATAATTCAAAATAAAATAAAAAATAAACACACATTCTGCAGAAAAATACGATGGAAACTTTTCCACAGACCGAATACAAAGTCGGGCGAAACGATTTTGATATATTAGAACACAAAGCCAAAAAGGCAATCGGGTAAATGATATTTCACCGCTATTGCATAACACGGTAAATATAATATACTCGCTAAACAGACAGCCTGTACGGTTTATCCCCACTAAAAATTTATTTATTTCACGGAATTGCAGACAATTCGATAAAATATTATTTACAGGGGGATGGCGAATATAATCTCTACCATAGTAGTACGGTGTACGCGCAGTAAATGGTACTTTATCACAACTGTGCGCAATTGGACGAAATAAATTCGGTGAAATATTTTCCACTTGTTATACGAAACAGTATTTTACTGGAATGGGGAACTCCCGTTCAAGATAAAGTCCCTCTTGCATTTCTGCCACTTTATCGGTATCAAATGTACGCCCATAAAATTTCTTACCGTTTCTGGAATCCCTTATTAATAAAGCGATAAAATGTCGATGCGTTCGATCTGCTGTATTGTTTCGAAAAGGTTACGTATAAGGTGAATTATTAATTTTTTTAAAATTTACACTCGACGGATAAAAATTAATCATAGGATAAAAATATTGAAAAAGAAAGTGTAACGAAAATTGAATATCGGTAATGTTGAGAGAAAATTTGAAGTTTGAATTGTTTTTGTTGTCGGAAGAGGTGTATCGGTGTATAATAACGGAATTTAAATGGGAAACATAGTCACGGTGTTAGAGAGGAAATGGTTCTCCTTACGAATCGCGTTCCAGCTTGGCATGACAGCACAACACATTGTTCCATTTCATGCTATGTTTTTTACTGCCTAACTGGAACGCGATTAAAGGGAAAAACCATTTCCATTAGCACTGTTTGACTCCGCTGCGAGTGTATATCAGAATGAAATTCCGTGCATGGACATAATGAACATCGTAGTTCATCGATTTTTCCTCGTTTGCAAGCAAAAAGACATGTAGTAATTATTCTGTCATGTTGCTTGTTTGGAATTACCTGTGTTTTATGTGCAACATTAAGTGGCTAATTACTAATTAACGTTTGACATGAGATTTATAAGAATATAAAATTACAATTTCCTGTTTCTTCTGTTAATAATCTTTTTCAAATTACAGTGAAAGAAGTAATACATTTAAACAAATTAAATACCTGCTGTGCACTATTATTTGCAAAATAACTTTGCACTAACAAAAGCTACATGAGATATTAACAATGTTACATTTAATTCTCCGACAAATTTTACCAGAATTGCAGTAAGTTTGTTATAAGTGAAACACACGCCAGTTTTCGCGAAGCAAGCGATCCACGTAACTCACAATTTTATTATTCACGGGAAAGAAGCACGTTTGAATGAAATAGTTAACCCCCAAAAAAAAGGGAAATAGAAAAAGAAAGTTTCTCTAAAGCAATCTGATACCAGGATTATTTTCCACGGAGTTAGGATTTAACGTGAACCGATAAGCTGATTTTTTATGCAAATAAGCGAGGAAAAATGTGCTAGTACACGTGACAACATTAAATGCAAAGTGTCGCGTTATGTTTATTCATCACATGACTGGTGTGCTGCGCCAGAGTAATTTGCCGTTCGATGTACATCGGAATTTTATTTAACTCACTCTTTCGTCGCGACGCTCCGAGCGAGGTAGTTTCTGTGGCAAGTGCTAACTAGGATAGTGTTCAGCATGAAGAGGGTGAAAAG